GACTCACTGTAACACCGGTGACTCCTAGTGGTTCAACATCGTAACTGCATAACTCTTCTTCTTTTTCTGTCCTGTCTTCCTTCCTCTTTCTGTCTCTGATGAACTGCTGTCTGTACTTCATGTGCACATTATGCAGCTCTGTGTGTGTGTGTGTGTTATCATGTTAACATAACAGAAAAGAGCTCTGACAAGTTCATTTTCCAGCTATAAAATAAGTAAACTTCATATTTCTTTTGCATTTTTCTGCTCCGTAATAATAAACAACTGTGATTCTAATTAAAGGGGAAATAACTGTTGAAAATACTCCATTTAAATCAGATTAATGCAGATTTTTGGGTTATTTTTGCTTCCATAACATGTTGTTTGTTTTTGTTTTTCAGATTAATGGAAAGAAAACACCTAAAATACACATTTATTTATTATTTAACCAAAAGTTAGCGTTAGATAATTGTCTTAATGTCAGTGATCAATCGAGGAAGTGTCACGTTGATATCTATCAGTTGCTTTTGACTTATAATGACTGACAGTACCACAATTGCTCTAATACGTCAACAAAATCAAACAATATTCAGGTTTCTGTACGTAAATTACTGCATTTTTAATTAGATAATGTATCATTTGTATTCTTGTAATACAAACAAACTATTGTCTTAATGTAATTAATCCACTAATGGTGAAATCGATTCACCTGTAGTGTCTCCCTTTAATTTATTATTGGAAACTTTTCTCTTTATTTATTAAATCATAGATAAATGTCAGTTTTCTGCTTCCTGTGCAGCCCGTCTGTTGCTGTCAGTCATGACAGCAATTAACTAAAGATAATTATTGGAAGTTTACCAATTATTACCTTCCTGCAAATTTTTATTATTGTTGTTTCCTTTTTTTTAAGGAAATTGTGGGAATAAAATAACATTTTACTATAAAACTAAACATTTAAAGCTTTAAAAGCCTTTAATAACCAAATTTTAGGGATCTTTTTAAAGGATTTTTGTTTATGTTTTGTGTTTCTAAAAAAACGGAATATCAGCTGAGGTATTGGATGTTTACTTTCAAATATTGATATTTGTATCAGTATTAATGATCCAGTATCAGTATTAATGATCCAGTATCAGCCTGAACTCCAGCTGTTACCAGTAAAAGATACTCACAAGTCAGATTTCTTCCAGAAAGTTGCATTTTTAATGACCCAGAACTTTTTGTGAACGCAGAATTTTTCATGTTAGACGTCCCATTGAGAACTGGACCATATATAGAGCTGGTTCTGCTTTATGTCTGCTGGTCTAATTCCTGCATCATCATCATCAACATACAAACAAAACTCAAAGTGTTACATGTTCGCATCGTATTTGGCACTTGGATCTATTTTGGAAAACACTGAGACGAGAGAATTTGATTGTTTTTGTGCAGAAGATGCAGACGTAGAATCGCTTAAAATGTCAATGAGGTTTTGAATGGAATCACGAGCCGAGCGCCTTTTTCTTCCTACAGTCAGCCCAGAGGCTCATTCTGCAGGTTGTTTTGTTGAAGTTAGACAATTAGAAGAATCAGCTGTTGTGTCTTTTGAGTAAAAAATAAAAACCTCCTCTTATTATTTTTAAAGTTTGACTCCTGGAGGGAATAAAAAGCTTGGTGGCGCAGTGGGACTCCGGCAGGTTAAAACTGAAATGAAAAACAAATAAATCCAGCTCATCTCTCTCTCTTTGCCTCTTCCTCCTCCCCTCCTCCTCCTTCTTTCTCTCAGCCGTCACCCCTCCTCTCTCCCCATCAGTGGCGTCCCCCCCTCCACGACGCCTCTCTCTTAAGAGGTTTTCTCTGTTCACTCGTTTCCCAGGTAAACACTCGCATGGGCCAGAGGAGGGAGGGAGCGGGTTCCTCTAAAAGCCAATGTCACCATTTCCCTTTTCTGTTTCCATCATCTTCGGAGCCCTGATCCAGCAAGTACATTCAAGAAGTTCAGGCTTTTGGCAGATTTTAAAGTTTAATTTGATTTTTGGCACTTTTTTCTGTTATTTGAGGAAAAAACGCTGCAACTTTTGAGTCACCTTTGACCCTTAAAATGCATTTAAATTGATAGTTTTAGCTATTTGACAGGTATAATCATTGGAAATTGCTGATATGATACCTGAGTTACAGTACACTGACCAAAACTGCACTTTTTTCTCTTTTTTTTTCAAAAAACAGTCAAATATTGTATATTAAAAAAATAATAATAACTACACTGTGAGACTTTTCACTGTAAATTTACAGTAATTAAAATATTGGATTCTTCTAGAAATAAAATTGCAGACCAAAACTTTATTCTTGTACATTTACAACAACTCGTCACAGTTTTGACAGTAATTTACTGTATTAGGTTTAGTTGAATTAGTGTTTATACACTCTGGTCCTTTAAATTAATAATTGTATGAAAGAGGAGAAAAGAACAAAACAAAGAAAATAAAAATAAACAAAGTTTATTCAGGTCTAGTTTTCTGTTGTACTGTGAAATATTTCTATTTTAATAAATATTTTAAAGGGAACTGCAGAAGGAATATTGTCCCTTTAATGTCATTATTGATAATAATATCATTATTATTACAGTAACATTCATTTTACTGTAATAAACAGTAATCTACTGACAAAAGTGACATAAAAATATGTATCGATTAACGTTCCATCGATCAACTAGATTATTATTATTATTATAGTTTCAGCTCAGGTGTGACGGTCTGTCATGTGACCCGTCGGATCGCGGCGTCCTCTGTCAGCAGACATCAGACTTGCTGGACGGGGCTCTCGGCGTGCCCCCCCTGATTTCTAAATGCCTCCTCCCCTTTAACCACAGATCTGCCGATCTGACCTCAGACCTCTGGTTAAAGGACGAGTTGACCCTTTTTTTTTTCTCTCTTTTGAGAAAAATTACTTATTTTGTTTTCTTTCTTTCTGAGAGTCAGATGAGAAGATCGATGCCACTTAGCAGCCAGCTAGCTCAGCTTAGCATAAAGACTGGAAACAGCTAGCTCTGTCCAAAGGTAACAAGGTTTATATCTTGTTTGTTTAATCCATTAAAAGATTTAAAATGTTAATTGGTGAGCTTTAGAGGTGCTTTTAGGCTAGCTGTTTCCCCCTGTTTACAGTCTTTATGCTAAGCTAAGCTAACTG